TACGTATACTATTATTAGTATATATATATAGTATATATATATATATAATTAACTTATACTACGACAGTATAGTATATATATATATATATATATATATAATACTTAGTCACGACAGATTACGTATATATATATATATATATATATATATATATGTATATATATAATACTTGCACGCAGATTCGTACTCGAATATAGATATACTAGAGTGCTTTATGGTACTGGCGTTTTGATAGCGCTTTACCGTTAGGTTTTGAATGCCTGCATGCTCTCGCACAGCAAAAATTCGTATGCCCCTTCGAGTTGTGTGGAGCATGAATAGAACATAAGTAACACACAAACACACCTATCGTGTACTGCCACATATACATATTGCATACTACGATACGATTCACATGCAACAAACATACACATGTATCGTGTACTATCACATACACAGATATTGCATACTTGATACGATATATAGGCAACATACATACACATCGATTGCGTACTGTCACACATACACATATTGCAAGCTACACTACCATACAAATGCATCATACATATACACATTTATCGTGTACTGTCACATACACATATTGCACACTACTGCCCATACACATGGGGTTTAACACGCTTACCACATACATACAAAGCTGCATTGTTGCCACACATACACATGACTGGGTCCTATCACACATATCTTGGTTAAGACGAATACTATTCCTCTGGCAGTACTCTTTCATCTACCTACCCCATGTATTGACAAATTTGCGACCACTCTTATCTACATCACAACCTTAGTATAGTCAAAGAGATATCGAACGCGATTGGGCTGACATGTGTCTACGAGGCGACGATAACAGCAAGGATATAAGACGAGGCCTACAATATGAATGCTCAACCGGTGCATGGCTTTCGAATGTTCATAGCCAGAGATCGTACCCAGTTCAATAGTAAGCATTGAAAAGGCCCCCATAAGTATCTTTGTGTATATTGAAAGTGGTATTCTGAGCAAACAGCTTCAGACTAGAAATTTTTTCCGTTTATCGAGGTATGGTGTCCGTTTTAGAATATTTTAGTTCGTTATTGTGGTTTAGTATGTGGAGATTTATCGCTTGCACGTCAATTTTTACATATTTCAACACGAAAAGATAAAATATTCTTCACCAGCGGTGGTAGATGGTGGTTCTGCTATTTATCTGCAAACGCAGTGGGTATTTATAATACACATCATATAGTAGCACTTAATATTCGCAGGCCGAGTTGATTACGTGTGTGTGATCCTGAGCACAACTATCCCGCCACTCTACCTACCAGCAATATACAATTGTATATATATATATATATATATATATATATATATATATATATAATATATATAGTAGTATACTATATATATATATATATATATATATATATATATATATATATATATATATACACACACA